CATCTTGAGAAGAGAACAGATACCTGCAGCTCATTTATAAGTCTTTAACTTTCAAGCCAGATTAAGGTGGGAGCAGAGCCCTCAGAAAAAAAAAAAAAAGAATTCTGAGAGGAACAGAAACAGACCATCATAGAGAAGAGAAGGAAGTTTAAATGAACACAAGGAAAATTAAAATGTTTTCAACTGACTACAGTTAGAATTTTATTTTACTTATTTTCAATCTTTTCACATGTGAATATTATAAATGTCCACATTTATATAAGTGCTGTTTGTTTCACGTTCCTCAGCGCTTATCTTTCAACTCTTCCTTCTAAGATGGATTGCTATTTTTGAAGGCCTTCTTTAATGTTTGTTTTCCTTCATTCCAATTTACTCTTTATAAATATTTCTGATTTGCTGTTTAAGCAAACTCTTCCAGTCTTTTGGTCATAATATGAAAACTATGAAATTTTGTTGTTTATATGTGTGACCTGGATATAAGTGTGCTCAGCAGAAAAGGGCAAAAAGCCTAGTTAAAGAAAACATTTTCTTTTTTTCCCATGATGGTAGCTGAGTTATTTAAATCTGTTACTAAAAAAAGTGCATGAGTATTTTACATTTTCATGGGTAAACAGTTTTTCCCTAAATAATAGTTGGCACTCCACAGGCATATTTAAATAAGACCATGTGGACAAATTTTACATGTTCATAATGTTCAACACAGAAGAGTGATGAATTACAAGAAATAAACAACACGTTATATGTAGTCATTATATGATTTGAAAAGAATTATTTTTTACTAGACTTCTCATATTCGTTAGTTCTCTTAACGCAAAGCAGTCATGTTACTGCTGTGGTATTTTATTAAAAATAGACCCATCTTTGCCTCAATGTTGACTTCACTTAAATAGTAACAGGACTCATGCCTCTCCTTTGTTCAAAAAACATCAAAATTCTTCATCTCTATAGAATATTATCTGTACTCTGTAGCTTGATCCCTGCCTCCTGCTCACTACTCTCATGCACTGCAAAGCCAAGTCAAATTAAAGACTCCAATATAAAAATACCAGCAGCTCTCAGCTGTTTCTACTTTGATGGACTCCAGCTGGACCTCACATACTGTTGCTGTATGACTGATTCACACACAGTGATTGATCCAAGGGCCATCTTGTTCATGAAGCCTTTCAAAGACATTTCCCTGACAGCACTCACTTTTGTGAAAGGCATGTATTGAAACTCCATAAATACTGATTGAATTAGATTACCTCCAGATCCTTTAAAATACTAGAGCTACACATAGGCTCACAGACCTATAGCTGCAAGTAATTTCAGAGACAAGGTAGCCTAAACTTTGCATTTTTAGATACAGAATACCTTGGCATCCCAGCCTAACTATAATATCCTGAGTACATAGTCTGTTTAGAATAAGGTGATGTAGTGATAAAACTCAGTTAAAAATCTCCTTAAAGTTTCCGAAGTAGAAATTATTGGTTTGAGTTATATAGGGTGGATTATCTAGGTTGACCAGATTAATTGCATAATCTTATAAAACCCTAAATGAACTTTTAAGTCTTTATAATGAAATGATTTCTTATGTTTTCATACATGTGTTTTGTTTTGATATTAAGTATTCGGTTTCAAATGGATTCCTTTCTATTATTTTAAAAATTTACCCACAATAAGTCTTCGAATAATGCTTCATGAGGGAGGTATACTGGAGATGGTCTTTGATCATGGGTGAGGCAGTCACATACAATCTTGTAGAGCAGATGTGGATTCAGTCTGCAGGGCGGCATTACTTGTCCTTAATGACGCCTGCTCCTGAAATCTGTTTCTATATGAACTTCACTCAGCCAGGTTTTTAATTTTGTTTTATACATGAGGACCTTCAGTAAAAGATAAGAATTTCTTGTATTTTGTGTATGGCTGGGCCAAGTAAAACAAATTCAGTAAAGCTGAACAAACCTCATGGGTAGCTAAATCTATATTTTTTATCAACTCATTTCTTCTAAATACAGTATTATCTTTCTCATGATTTGTCTACATAATCACCACTACCACACAGAGATTGTATAAACAGAACACCACAAAAGACCATAAGCAGGCTATATAAACAGAACAGCCTGTGTGGTGTAGTGAAAAGAGCATTATCTTTGTGAGAATCTGACAGACAAATCCAAAGTTTTCAAGTTAATTAGCTGCATGATTTTTGATCAGTTATCTATCTTCACTGAATCTACGGTACCTACGTTTTCAGAATGAATTAGAATATTAATCATGTTGAGAGATTAACAGAAGAAATTTATGTAGAGGCCCTGTATAGATAAATTTCCTATCCCTACATATGTCTACCTGTACTGAAGCAACTCATGTGTCTCTGTGTTTTAAAGAATTAAAAGTTTTCCCTAATTAAGATTATATCATGAATGAATCCTGAGAAAAAAGAATTCTTTCAAAACTAGAGCAGTTGTTATGAATTGTGAATGTATCTTATTTGAATGACTATTAATCAAAATGTGGAAACATTTTATGATGACAACACACTTTGGTTTCTCTTGCCTTTTAGGAGCTTAAGTTGCCAAAGGATTACCTTGCACAAAAATCTGTTCTTCTCTTTCGTTTGTAACTCTATTGTAACAATCATTCATTTCACTGCAGTGGCCAACAACCAGGCCTTAGTGGCGACAAATCCTGTAAGTAAAACGAGATTGTGCCCTTAGGTTCAAGGGGTTAATTGGGAATAAACAGGAGAGGTACCAAGGGTAGAGGGGCGTCTTGATATATGTATGTATATTATTTAGTAATGTATGTATATTTTAAGGTATGACATAGATAGATTATGTATATATAGCTATATTCCAATCTAGAAGGGTAAATCTCAGTGTTCTCCATTTATAAAGATTGAATAGAAAAAAGAAGAATACTTTCTTTGTTTCAATTATCTGCATGTTACATATATCTTCACCTCATTTTATGGTTAGAATCTTGCTGCTGATGGGACATAATATTTACTCAATAGAATGAAAAAATCAAAGCTAGAAAAAGACAGCACGTGAAAATAGAAATTTTAAATTAAATTATATGTTTGCTATTATGCTGACTTTAAAGAGACTTCAAATAAAAACCAGGGGGAAAATGAATTATACCTATATAATGTTTAAACTTTATCAACATAAAATTTTTAAAAGGCTCTACCATGTTCTCATTATCTCAGCAAACATTTATAAATTGTTCCCATACAATCCCTTTGGAAGCCTAGTTTTTAGAATAAATGTCAAAGAGATACACAAAAGTAAGGACAGAGACTATCATAACACAAAAGCTATATTTTAATAACATAACATGAAATTTACTCATACATATGTATATATTTTATGCATATTATATGCATATATAGCTGTATTTAAATTAAAATATCTGCATAAATAGCAAATATTCAAATTCTTAAAATCATATGCTTTCATAATGTTTGTAGTATTTATACTACAGTTTTGGATATGGATTTGTGGAGGGGTGTGTATACGTGTATATATAAAGTGGTTTTTTAAAGATTTCAGGAATCAGGGAAAGGAAGGAATTCTCACTCAATGGGTCAATAAACAATACTCTCATATGTGTTTTATGTGTGTTTTTAGGGTAATTTCCAAAATCCTAAAATTCCCTGCATTGTTTGCACATATGCATCTGGACTGCTTAATCTTGTATATGTTCCACTCTAAAGTCACCGGGTGAGGAAACACTGGGGTATAATTAGTAATATAAAAAACTGGTGAATATCCGGTCATTTTAGCGTGCATTTTTCTAGAGCAAGGAGATTTGGAGTTTTGTCATGAGGCTGCAGAGGAAGAGATTCTAAATCTTACATTTATATGCAAATATATTCTGTTTAACACACATGTTACAAAATGTATTATAGTTATTTTTAATACATTCTTAGAAAATTTATTGTCTGTTTACATCACCATACCCTTCATAAAAACATTTCTCTAAAGCATGTTTTAAGTTCTTTTTTACCATAATAGTTTATAGGTTAATTTTTAAATGAAATCAAGAGTGAGAAGTCTAATTAGATATGCATGTCTAAAAACTATACAGATAAAATCTTGAAGCTGAAGCTTATCATTTCTATATAACATAATTAGATAACTCATTTTTATTTTTGAGAGGATTTTTTAATATAATGTGTTTGACCTCAAGGTACAATATTTAAAATTTAATGTCATGCATTTGGCAGATGTATTTAATGAAAGAATAGGTTTTATAAATATTCTCAGTCAAAAGGCATTATGTATAGTTGTGAACACAAAATTGGAATTACAGGACTTGTGTTCAGGGTGTAACTTTGATTGATGTTGTATGAATGTTAGCAAATGATCTACTTCTCCAGTACACAGATTTTAACTATAAAATATGCAACTAGTGATAAATCATGCCTTACAGAATTATTTTAAGAATTAAATAAAACAATACATGGTAAAATATTTTAGGCTAACGTATATGCAAATGTTATTACTACTTTTCTATGATAATCCAATATTCATTTGCTAGTGCATTCAATTTTAGTTTTCTTTTTAGTGGAAAAAAGTTTATTTTAAAAACAATAATAATTGCCACTAAATATTTGAGTTGTAGACTGGAAATTGGAGCTGATGGGAGTAACTGGCCATGTATTTCTGGGAGAGCTTTAAATTTATTCCCCTTGTTAAGGGAGTAAACTATATGTCTTACTCCTTTGTTTTGTTTACCTTGTACTTAAACCTCCCTCTTCCTATCTCTTTAAGAGCAGAAAACAGAATGTGAAGACCTCAAGGAATGAGGAAGGAAAACCATAACTTTTCTTCCTTTTAGCTACATGAAACCCTCAAACCTCATATTTGAATAAGATAAAGTATGGACTCGTTAGATTATTGTTTAATAAGTATCTGCACTAGTAGCACACGATATTCAGATTTCCCAAGTATTGGCACTTTTCACGAATTGCTTTTAAAATTGTCAGGATGATTATTAAGATTTTTTCCAACAGAATGTAACAATCATGGAGTTAATGATGACATAATTAAAACAGATACAGTCATTCATGTGTGAAACTTTTATACTTCTAAATTACATAATACCTAAAACATATATTAGGAAATATTAGAAATACTAGGAAAATACACATGAACTAAATGTAGTAAATTTGGAATTTGCACATTTCATGGAAGGTGTATCATTATAAATCTCTGGAGTCAGTGGCTACACACTTTAGAGGCACTGTTAGATGAGGATGAAGACTGGTTTTTACAAATCTGAATCATTCGCGTGTGAGATTTTGTGTGGAAGAGAGAAAATCCTGTATTTCTGTATAACCACGCTGAACCAGACTGCTGTTTCACCTGGGTACTCATGTACAACTAAATATTGATTGCTTCCCTTTTTCCTCACAGGTTAGTTGTAAAGTGTTCCAGTTCATTCATCTCTACCTGATTGGCTGTAACTACTTTTGGATGCTCTGCGAAGGCATTTACCTGCACACGCTTATCGTGGTGGCTGTGTTTGCAGAGAAGCAGCACTTGAACTGGTATTATTTTCTTGGCTGGGGTAAGTGCCATTACACATACCTACGGACTTGCCTTTTAAGAAGACTTGAAGGATGCAGAGTTCCTTTGTAATAAAAATATACTTCTTATTAGTCATTTTTAATCAATATCAGGTAATTTGACGTTTGCTTACTGCTGTAAGTTGAAATATTTAAACAAAGTCCCACTGACTCATTGTTTTCAGTAGTCACAGGTCAATTAACAATACAGTTTTTTTCTATTTACTATTCCAGTGTGTATCTTGGCCAAAGACACAGTGACTAAAACAACAGAATTAGAATCACAAATCAGGGGTCTAGTCTTGCACTATTCTGAAACTTCTTTTTCCTAATCTGCAAACTGAGGGCATTGGGATTCACCAGCTTTGAAGTTCCATTCTAAAAATGCTTCTTTTAAAAATATATTGTTTTTATTTTAAGAGTAGAGGGCTCAGTAATTGGATAAAGGCAGCCAAAAAAAAAATCTACTTTTTTCACACAGTCTCCTGGCATATTATTCACAAAGCAAACAATGATACACTTCTAGTATATTTTTAAAAATAACCAGAAAATGCAAAACATACAATGCTGAAAATGAATTCATTAGGACTAGTTTCCAGAAACATAACTGAAATTATATATCTGTAGCTATCTATCCATCCATCTACCTATCTATCCAGTCAGATAATAGATGTAGATATATAGAAATGTGTACACACACACCATCTTTATTTTCTTTATTTTTTATTGAAATATTTTTCCTGTTGTTTGATATTATTGATAATAATGTCAGATACGTATTTGGCAAGTGAGTACAATTTTTGCCCAATTAAATTTATGTATATATTGAGGCTACTAGTATATTCAGGTTATCTCTGTAAGACATAACTTCATTTTATGTTTCGAAAGTCTGATTTAGAATGCTAAAAACATGCAAAATTTCTGACATATTAATTAACTGTCTCTCTCTTCCTTCTCTTCTTCTTCATATAATCAGTCTCAACTTCTTTTCACATCTGATTATCTACCAAATAGTGGCCCAGTTCTATCTTATAGAAAATATGTGGATGCTGAATTTCTCCTAAGCCTTTGAGTATAGGCAGCACATTTACAAATGCAGGCTCTGCAGTCCACTGATTCAGAATAACTCATATTAGAATATGTCCACACACATATACACACAACCCTGAAAATATAAATACCTAATAGTTTACCACATTTACTGTTTGACTGAACAGATAATATTTACTCAAAAGGCACATGGTGACAGTTATTTTTGTTCTGAGAGTGTCTCTGAGTTTCATATTTCATGATACATTAGGAATTCCATCTGTGGAGACAGTTGTCTGTTTATTTTCTTTGTTTGCTACCTACAGGATTCCCACTGATTCCTGCTTGTATACATGCTGTTGCCAGAAGCTTATATTACAATGACAAGTAAGATAAACTCTCTTTTTGATTTCTATTGGAACCAAGTACAATGAAAATCTTCAATGTAATTTCTCTGCTTTTCTCTCCCCAGCTGCTGGATCAGTTCTGACACCCAACTCCTCTACATTATCCATGGCCCAATCTGTGCTGCTTTATTGGTAATTAAAATGCTCCTTTTTTCTTTATTGTTCATATTTCAACTTTATTTCCTGAAACATCTGACCTATGTTATCCTTTAGGATCTCAGTGGACATAGATTATGTGCCTACAGTGTTTGACTGAAGAGGGTTTAATGAAGGTGTTATATTTAGGTGTTGGCAGGAAGAGTAAAGGAACTAATTCATAAGGAATGGTGAGGCACCAGGGACTAACAGTAGGAAGCTGTCATCAAGGCTGGACCTGAAGATGGGCCAGAATAGTGTTCCTGGAGTTGTGTGAGTGCTAGGACAGGTGGCCCAACAGGGGTCTGGCCTTGGGTAGAAGAACACACTATTGCCAAAACCACAGCCGGACAGGGAAAAAGGAGAAATTTGTAAACTTCTCTTTCTCCCAACGCCCTGATCTCTTGGTTCCTCGTGTTGGCCAAATGTAGCAAATGTGCAAGGGTGGGAGAGCCTGGTTGATGATGCAGTCCTCGGAGCTGCCTCAGAGATTCTCAGGGCACAGAGCAGAACAGAGAAGGGCAGAGGATGGATTTAGTGAGTGGGGATGGCAAACAGGAAAACCTATGTACCCGTGATGGTAATAAGAGTAATATTCCAATAAAGAAACAACTTTAATTTGGAAAAAGAGAGTATTGCTTAAACAGTTATTTTATTATTATAATCATCAGTGTTTAATACAAGTGCACCAACTGGACATTTTTAAGCGTGGTTGCAGGGAATCAGAAGTCACATTCAGTGCTTTTAATACATTGTTTCAATGGGGAAATAAATTAATCTCAATTAACATGTTTTCTCTCATAGAGCATTAGAGACCAGAATGCAATTAGTCTCTAAGGCTGTAATTACAGCTGGTATTTAATTATATATAAAAGGATGAAGGTGGTATGATTCTCAGCCAAGATTTAAAGCTTCCTAACTCTTGTCTTCAGATATTTTTAGAGAAATATTCTATTATTTTACTATATTTAGTAAATATTGTATATAGTAATGCATTTTAGTATATGGTTATGTTAGAACACTGTTCAAGCCATTCTCAAGTGTATCATTGTTATGGTATTCTCAAAGTGTGTCATAATTAAGAGAGTAAATTCTGGAAGCTGACCGCCTGGGTTTGAAATCTTCTACCTATTGTGTTGTGCGTTGTGTGTTGTGTGACCTTATGCAATTAAACTAATCGCTTTGTGCCTCAGATCCCTTGTTTGCAAAATAGAGACTGCAGTAGCAGAGATTTTAATTTTTAATGATAAATTAAATGAGTCAATACATTAAAAGTAGTTAGCTGGCACGTGTAAAGCCCGTAGCAAATGTCAAGTTTCTGATTTGTGCCTGGCCACACAAGACAGCCAGTTCAAAAATCAATACATGGAATTTATTATATCTCTTATGAAAATATTATACCTTAACATAGACTGTAGTGAAAATTTTGGAAGCAGAAGCATTCCTTTCCCTTGCACCCTGCACATACTGAGGACACATGTACTGCACTATTTAAGCTGTATCCTGAGACATCCTAGCTTTGTATTCTTGGAAAGAGCCAGCATTAAAGCCTAGCTCGACCACTGCTGGTTGTGTATCTCAGGGCAAGTTCTGCTTTGTTTTGTTTTCAGCCTCTCTGTGCCTTTGTTTTCTCATCTATGATATGGAATAATAAGAATAAATACCTCACAGGGTGTTGTAAAGTTTAAATGAGATGTCCTGTTAAGCAATTAACACAGTGCCTAGAATATAATCAATTCTCGAAAATATGCTTTTTAAAAGTATCTTCACTTGTATTGTCCACATGATACCATGATTCTGTTTTGAGGAAAGTGCAAAGAACTTGAGATTCTTTTGGGGGCCACCCAGGAACTTACAGAACAAATATAAGGCAAAGTTTTCTTATAAGAGATCTGACTCTAGAGAGGAATATGTGATCCAAACTCCTAAATCAGAGAGGTTCAGGAAATAAGTAGAAGTACCTACTAAATGAAAAATGTAACAGCAATTAACTAAATCCTTGGAACAGCCTGTCCACACCAGCTCTGGGAGGGAAGTGGAGATTATGCAGCTAGGATAAAATGTCACATAAGAATATCACCCATCAAGCTGCTCAATAAAAAAGGAAGTGAAAATCCACATTCTTTACATAAAGATTTTTCCACTTTTCTTATCCTGAAAAAAAAAGATTAGGAGCCTATTTTTCTGCCAGGATAAAATGTTCTGGCCTTGTTTAAGTTAGGGCTTTTCACTGGTCCTGACCAATTTCAAGGTCTTGGAAGAGGCTCTAGCAAGTGTTTATATGGTCCATGTTTTTGTACAATTTTTATAAATAAAATATTTCAACCGCAATCAGTTTCTTTCCACCCAGACTTCCTCTGTCACATTTCCCCTTGAGCAGGGTGGCATTGGTGTGGCTACAGTATTTTTGAGATCCTGCTAAGAGGAAGTTGAGGGGGGATGCATTTAATCTGTGCTTAGTGAGAGATGTTTAGGTCACTTCATGGTTAAATGACTGCTGGCTGATCTAGCATGAGAGTGGCTTCCAGGAATCCTACCGCCACTGTGCTGATTCACACAGCTTCCTGTCTTGACCCCAGGATGGTATCGCGATGTGAAATGTCCCGTTGTACAGCTGTGTGAGCTTTATGGGTGTTGGAGTAAAAACAAACTTCTTCTCTTCTCCTTACCTAGCTTTAAGATAGATGAAATTCAGATGTAGTTCATCTGAAATTCACAGTTCTTGTTTTATTTATACTTAAAACAAATGGAAGTAAAATAAATGGAAGAAAATAAAGTAGGATGATTTCATAGTTTCTGGTTTCACAGTATAAATCAGACTTGCCATCTTGGAGAAGCACTTTGCATTTAGAAAGTTTCATATAATGGGCATCTAAATGGTAACATCTATACTGATTTTTATAATTTATCATTTTTACATATTAGGATTATAAAATATTCTGTATTCTAAATTTATAAGCAGATAAAAGGGCATTGTTATATTTTCTTCCATGGGCTGTAGTAATTTCCATTTAGTAAAAACTATTAAAACAGCAATGAACGTTTAGGAAGGGGATAGAGCAGGGTGGGTGGAGTAACAGCTGATGTGTTGATTCATCGTATTTCAATTCTACACCTGTTGAAATGGCTTATTCTGCTTTTGTCTTTAGCAGAGACATTCCTGTGTCTGTAACCATGTTACTTTTCATAGATGTGTTTCCATCAGGATTAGCGTTAGCTGTGTATTTCTGAAGCATATGTTCCACTGAATTCTCTAAAAGAATAGTAGTGGAGTATTTTTAGACCCAGTTATTTTTATAACACCTGCCTTAAATCCACAAATGAAGATTATTTGTTCATTGCTTTCTATATTAAATGAGATGCTACCATTATTTTTCCAATTAAGTAAAGTATGTGGATATAAATTTGCAGTTTGAAAATTTTAAATCATTAAACAAAGCACAGAGGCTAGATGTCATGGTGAGAAGAAAGGAAAGAGAATAGCATAGTAGCATAAGAGCCCTAAAGGTCCTTTCTGGAGTTAATGTCCATAATTCTATGAAAGGCATAAGGAAGGAGCCTAGAGAAACAGACAAAAGTAAAAGATATTGACTTGGAGGAAGATAAGAAAGAGAAAGTAATATTCAGGGAGAGAGAGGAGAAAAAAATGATTTGAGCAGAACTCTGTTCATTTCCTGAGTAACTTAGTTATCTCCACTGTATTTTTGAAGTTTTATGTCTCCCTTTCAAAGACAATGCCTTCTGTTGGGAAGTGTTGTTAACAAATGGTAAATTTATAATTACAGAAAGTAATTAACCAAAGGCCCTGTTAAGTGCCCATATTTTTTTTTAATCTCTGGGATGATCTAGGTTAAATATCAAATGGTTCAAGTGTGTGATTCAGCCTCGTCATAAGGATAGAGGATTATAGTATTACCACGAGGAGTTGTGAGGATTATTGCTACCAAGAAAAAAAAAACAGGAAGAATAAACCAAGAAGAGGAAAATGGTTATTACGGTATACTACATATTTGAAAAGTATCTAGTACGGACACTAATACAGAGGAGACACTTTAAAAATTAGCATTTTTTATAAACAATTATTTCCTTTGAGCTGAAAATATTCAAACACTTTAGTTTAATCATAGCAAAATTTTTAAAAATTGCACAAGAAAATGAGCTAAGCAAAACAATCATATATTCCTCAAATGAATGTGTTCCACAACAGTGCCATCATAGTTTTATTTTTCTAAAACCTAAGTCCATTAAAATTGATGTATTTTTAAAATTAATAAATCCCAATTCCAATATCTGGAGAGAAAAAAAACGCTGTATCAAAGAGATATCTGTACCCCATGTTCATAGCATAATTATTCACAATAGCTAAGACATGGTACC